GATCTCTATAATTTTTGTTTTTACATGATTTTTCTAAAATGGACCGTAACGGAAAAATTGGAGGAAAAGTGCTTAATTTAAATTTTTCATTATTTTCGTTTTCAATGAATATCTATAGAAAAATGTTTCGAGGTAGATGTATGTGGACAATGGATATATTTAGTTTATCCTCTAAACATTTATAGAGGTGCTGCAATAGGTTGTACAAAATAACCGGAAAAAGCCTGTAATAACTAGATAGGAAAGTCATGTGTTGGACACATCAGATTTTTATAACGAATAAACACAACAAAAACGCAACGCCAAGATAGGTTTAGTATTCAACATATTTTGTTTTATTTTGTAACCGCTAGTTTTCTATCCGTTTCCTTGAGATGACAATAATGTGTCTCTCAATCAATTACTTTTATTAAGTGTAAAGGTTAAAGAAAAAGTCCTTTAATATTTCTCACAAAGTCAATTTATTGGCGACCGGTTTCGAAGTTGTCACTTCATCATCAGGCACACCTTGACTAATTCCATAAAGGAATTAGTCAAGGTGTGCCTGATGATGAAGTGACAACTTCGAAACCGGTCGCCAATAAATTGACTTTGTGAGAAATAAAGGACTTTTTCTTTAACCTTTACACTTAATCCCTACTACTCACATATGGCTACCCTCACTCCAAAAAAAAATTACTTTTATATTGAAAGATATGCGAATTCAAATACGGTGGTGCCCTACTCTAATTTCAGGGTAATTGTATTATTACATCACTGAGCCTAATCCACGACCCTTAATAATGAGATTTGATCACTCAAATTGTAAAACTAACAACAGTGGTTACAATTTTTATAAAATGATATAGTTTTCTTTCTCATAATTTTTATTTGATTAATTAGGTACCTAGGTACATGACTAATTTGTATTTATTTAATAAACAGGTATATTATGTAGGTATGTCAAACCATAGCTGTAAAATGAAATGTTCTTAAAAGCAATAAAAGTATTATTATATAAAAGTGGCTATGAGTTTCATAATAATTTGGGTGTGACTTGTTTCTAAACAAAATTCATAAAAAACATTTTTATGTCTTTAAAAATAAGGTTAAAATACCTATATACCTACTTATTGCGTTTTAGGCGAAGTTGCCAACTTTTATTCAAAATATTTTTTCTAGGTATAAGTACTTATATAGGTACCAAATAAAAGACAATTCCCTATACTGTACATGTTTCTTGTTATTCTTAGAATATAGAAAACTAATTATAAATACTGGATTGTACATTTTAAAAATTCAACTTTCAAAATTAAAAGTTAGAACAATATTTGATTATGAAAATAGTCAACATGAGTTGTAAAATATTTCTACATAAACATACTATCATCCTAAATGTATAGCCCAACTTAATTATGAGAGAAAGATAAAAATGTACCTTGAAACGTATTTAGGGTAGGTACCTATTGACTATAGCAAATATTTGAAGAACTAATACGTGTTATTTGCATGTTATTATGTTACATATAATTATTTGGTACCTATATCTAATCTAGGTTAAACGCATAATTTGAATAGCATTTTTTAAAAAGGTACCTAATCGGTAGTAGGTACTTGAGTAGTGAATTAAATATTATTTGTTAAACCCATTTTTAGTCATTTTTAAAATGAAATACCTAAATAAGTAAATAAAGATATTTAAGCAGAGTATTGCTTAAATTATATTATTGAGAAACTATTTTAATATCTTAAATTTAGAACTTTAAATATGAAAATTTTAAATATAAGTGTATGTAAATGGGAAATTTCCTAAAAATTTTATTCTTGATCAAAAGTTCTGCATCATTTGGAAATCCATAACCAGGCATCAAATTTTATAAAATATAGGTGAGCAGGTACATTTTAATTTTTTATTATGGAGTAAGAGTAAAATACTTTTAAAAACTTCATTATAGTTCAAGCCAAATAGGTATTAATTGAAAATAGCAATTGCTGTTATTTTTAACTGATTTCGACATAATAAATAATTCAAAATTTTATGCTTGATTATGTATTTTCAACTTTTTGGGATACACTGTATATACAAAAATCTATAAAACAGTGGTATTTAAGAGAAGAAATAGAAAATTAAGAAAAGTTGTTTTATATTATTCCCTATAATTTTTGATTTATACAAAATTTTCCTAAAATGGACCGTATTCGAGAACTTTGACAAAATGTAAAAAAAATCAAATTTTAATGAAAATTGTTTAAATAAAAGTTGTTTGTAATATAATTTTCTATAATTCTTGACCTATACACAATTTCTCTAAAATGGATCGTATTCGAGATATTTCAGAAAAAGTGTAAATTTCGAGAATTTTGAAGAAAATTCAAAAACAGATAGAGAAAAAATCATTAAAATTTAAACTTAAACTTCATTCCGGACAGAGGTGAACTGATAAGATTTTCGGCAAAGTCTGAACATCAGGGGGGATAATTTATAGGAGGTCGTTTTTATATTTCATGGAATATATCAGTTATTTATGTTTGAAGAAGAAAATTGTTCATATAAAAGTTACTTCTTATATTATTTTCTATAATTTTTGTAATTTACAAAATTTTCCTTAAATGGTCCGTATTCGAAAAATTTGACAAAATGTAAAAAAATAAAATTTTTAAGAAAAGTGTTCAAATAAAAGTTGTTTATGATATAATTCTCTATAATTCTTGCCCTATATATAATTTCTCTAAAATGGACCGTATTCGAGAGATTTGTGAAAAAGTGTAAATTTTGAATTTTGAAGAAAACTCAAAAACAAAAAAACAAAAAACCTTAAATTTTAAACATATACTTTGTTATGACCTGAGGTGAACTTATTAGATTTTGAACAGAGTCGGAACATCTGGGGGTACTTTGGAGGGGGTCATTTTGATATTTTATTAAATATATCTGTTATTTACATATGAAGAAGAAATTTCTTCAAATAAAAGTTACTTCTGCTATTATTCTTTATAATTTTTGTTCCATACAAAATTTTCCTAAAATGGTCCGTATTCGAGAAATTTTACAAAATCTAAAAAAATTCTGATTTTTATGAAAATTGTTAAACTAAAAGATGTTGCGATATCGATCTCAATAATTTTTATTTTTTTATATGATTTCTCTAAAATGGACCGTAATGGAAAAATTGTACGTGGAAAATATAACATTTACAGAGTTGCTACAATAGGTTGTACAGAATAACCGAAAAGAGCCTGTAATAACTAGATATAAAAGACATGTGTTACTTATAACATATTTTTTTAAATAAATAATTGCCGATTGTTCATCTAAAAGAAATATTTTTAAAATATTTGGAAATGTAGGAAGGTACTTATTTAATGAAATTTAACCTCGAATTTAACTGATAGTTAAGGGTACCGAACTTACTGCATTTTTTTTCTATCCCTTATGTACTTATAGAAAAAATATTGTAAATATTTTTAATCATCACTTTATTGACACATAAATTGTACCTAATATAGAATAAAAATGTAGGTAGGTACATAATTAGGTAGGTACTTATTTATATTTTAGTATAATCATTAATGTTAATATTAGAAGTTTATAAACATTGGAAATTACCATGTTTCTTGTGCTAAATTTTCATCAAAAAAATATGAAGCAAATTAAATCTTTAATACCTTCCAAAATTACAACATTTCACGTAAATAATACTCACTTCATGGTTAAGAACTTGGTACAGATCACAAAATGGTTAAAAATCCTAACCTCCATCTTCCAAAAATCAAAACATTTACTTACCTATATTAGGTATTTACCATATTATTTTTGGTATACCTACTTAATTTATTCAAACATGATTTGTCGAAATTACAGAGAAATGATTTGACACAAATACTTAAACAATGAGGAAATTAGAACATATGGTTTGGTTACTTGTGGGAGATATCTATATTTTGCAATTTTATACAGTATTGAAAAGGATAATACCTATTTAAATCAAGGGTTTTATTTTGAAAATGTTGATGCGTTACTTGTTTTGATAAATTCAAATTTGTTCGAGCCCTATACAGGAATACAGAGTGAGCATTTTTTGGTTAGTGCAGAGAGGTAATCAGATATTATGCGAGTTGGCTTAGGTATGCTGGATTCTAGGAAATATCCTATACGCTACCGAATCTGTAAGTTATAGTAATGTACTTTTTTACAGATTTTGGCTTACAGATCTTATAAATTGTCTCAGAATCGACCCATTAGTTTGGTGCTTCTATTAGGTAACTATTTTCATAACTTCGGTACATTCTGGATATGCATGTACCTATTATTGTTTTTTCGCCTGTAGGTACCTTACCTATCATACCTATAATAATTCCATATTTATGCTTGCTTGAGATGCTTTGGTGATCTGTGACTTAAAGGTGATTGATTGTAAATTTATTCTTCAGCTTTAAGTATACTGTTCTCTTTTAGATAGGTATAATACACCTACTTAATTCCCAACAGTACTTAATTTGCAAATATTCTACAAGGAAACTGGTAAAAGGGACTTTTCAGCACTCCAGTCAAGTCAATCGCATCTTTCTTCATATTTAGGAGTAAATGGGAAGTAAATTGGGAAATTTCTCAGCTAAAGATATTAAAAGTAGAGGCCGAGCCACAGTAATTTATAATGCCGCACCCCCTTCTGAACGCCCCTGGTAGTAGGTAATCGTTTTACAAACCAAACTAAATATTAATTTTGATAATAATGACAAGTTTTTATCGTTTTCTAGATAGGTATTTTTATAATAATAATTCTTTAAATATATCTGGAAAATAAAGTACACATATTGGCCGCGTCTGCATATAAACGAGACAAATATAGGTGGTGGTAGAGGATACATATGTACCTACGAATGTTAGTGGGCTTTTTGTGTACTTACTAATTATTATTATAATAGGGATGTAAATAAACATTTTCAACCAGCAAAATTGTAGAGAATATAGTTGTAACGACTCTACAAGGTAAAAATTAATAATTACTAAATATATTTACCGTTTAAAATGTTCTCGAATTCGTTCTTCTCGTATATTCTCGGGTAAATTTCCTACCCACAAGTGTCTAGTCTCTCTGACCATTTTGCCCTAAACACCACATTGAGGAATTTTTGTTTTTCGTCGCACAGACACTATTTCACAAAAAAACACAGCCGTTTTAACTTCATGTTGGCGCACTGATCTTGGTTTGGCACACAACAACACTTCACATATCTACGACACACACTTCCTGAGATACACATCAAATTATACGATTTTTTTACATTTGTTTCACTGATTTTTTTAACACTTTTAAACACTGTGCGAGGCTGTGTATTTCACTTCATTTTTGCTGGCTCTACACAACACACTGCTGGGGAGCGCGCTTTGCTTAGTTTGCCTCTAGTTTGAAATGTGCTGCAACGCCTTGTGCCTAAACCCGTCGCAATCATCACGGACATGCTGCTCGCGACACGCTGCAGAAAGAGAGCACTGTCGGCGTATGTCTAGCTTGAATCGGACGATTTCGTGTACCGCGATATAGCTTTCCTTTATATTTTGACTCTCTCTACTGGACTTTTCGGTCGCTTGCGACGCGCTACTATCCTACCTACAAAATTCGTTCTATTTTTATAATTATTACGATATATTGTTTGTTTTCGTCCGCGATGCCACGTTGGAAAATAATATCGATCTTATTTATTATACCTACTCATCCAATCGTATAAAAATATTCAAAACGGTACATAGGTAGTGCCCTCAAATTGGTTTTCTTTAATTTAACGAACAAAATGTAGAGTACCTAGATATTTGTAGATACAATAAAAAGGTACATGCTAATTTAAGCATTTACTTATATGGTCCTTAGTTTAAATTGTATTTTAAGCAATGATAATTAAATAGGTACCTACCTAATCCATATCTAATATTCAAACGAATTATGTGTTTCGTACCATGTCTATACAGGCGCGGATACAAGTGGGGGTTATAGGGTAATTACCCTCCCGAGCTCCTTGAACAAATCCAGAAATTTACTAAATTGTAATCTAAAAACAATGAGATTTTACGAGAAAGCAAAAAACAGACAAGATGACTGTGACGAATGAAGATTAGAGAAGAACAGGCTAGCGTACAGTATTTTTTGTTATTTTTTAAATAAACGAATGAGTTTTTGATAAAATTATCTACCCCCCCCCCCCCCCCGAAAAATCTTCCCAGATCCGCGCCTGTGTCTATATAGGTAGGTACTTTAATAATTTTCACCACCTCAAAAAAAGGAAAATCCTGGTTAAAAGCTAAAAGATTCATTAATCTGTTGGTCAAGAAAGGCTAAATACTTTCTTGATTTAAATAAGATTTACATAGGTATCTAGGTATTAGTCGTCTCAATATGGACTCCGTCATTTTAAAAGTTGGGTAAAATTGAGAGTTTAAGTAGGTATACCTAGGTAGGTACCTAATTAGTCCCTAAATACCTTAAATAAATGTTCCACCTACCTTGGTACCTACCTGGTAAGCATAGGAGGTAGATATATTTAGAAAAAGTCTTTAAAATATTGGAAACTGGGGTAGGTGCCTACTTATAGGTACCTATAATAGGTAAATCTGTACCTATAATAGGTAAATCTGTACCTACAGACTAATAATAAATATGAAAGTAGGTATTATTAGGTCGTATATAGATACCTACCTAAGTAACTACTTCCTTAAATAACTACAAACTGCATTAAAATAAAAGACAGCTATCCTAATTCTGTGGTACTTATCTCTACCATATCTCATCAAAAATTAAGTCAATTAGGTAGGTATTAATGTCAAATAACTGTTGAAACTATGTACCTACCTATCAAAGCATGTAAACTGGTAGGTTATTACATACGAATTTACGTAGCTACATACCTAGCTAGGTGGTAGGTAACTCTTTTGAGTTTCAAACCGTATTTTGCAAAAAATGGACTAGATACCAGATAAATACATACATACATCTATAGGTACATAACAATATACCTACCTACCTACTTAGAAAAACAGTTTCAAATTGCAATAAATTAATAGGTATGTAGTTTACAATTAATAGGTAGGTATTCCTATTTTTATTTCAAAATAAAAATCATTAGGTAGGTATTAGCATGGTATATAGGTTCGTTCCTACCCAATCTTTACTTAAATAAAAAATAATACCTAGGTATATACCTATTATAACTATAACCTATTATTATTACCTATTAGGTGTAAGTATAAACTAATAATAACTTTAGATAGGTAAACCTAGGTACAAATAGGTACGAACAATATGTTTCTAACATTTAAAAACACAATTCTGTCGTAATTTATGATTTCTACGTAGAATCCCTTAGGTTAAATAGGTACCTAAATATCATCTATTTCTAGTTTTTATAAGAATAGAAAACAGACATAAAACAAAATAAGAAAAATGGTGAAATTCTCAAAATAACACGTTGACTTTGAAACATACGCGAGCGAACGAAACCTTTTTAGAACGCATAGTAGGCCGTTTTAATTGAGGTTCGGTCGAGTCTACTTTCTAGATGGGTGGGTAAGGTTGAGTCGTTCAACAACTATACAACGGTATAATAATACAAAATTCAGTGCATTCTGGTACAATGGTTTATTCTTTTTGAATGTTATCTTTTCTTACAAAATCTATTGTACTATAGCATCAGGAATGTTCTCTCTCAAGCAACAAGTGCAATCGTTTTTTAAGTTCCATAAAGTAAAGGATTCCCAACACTTTTGCAATTTTTTCGTATAACAATGTACCTACCTAACTTATCTAATAATACCTAGTAAAAATAGATACCTAAACGTAATCAATGTATTACAGATACCTACCTGCTTTATCTAAAACCAAAATTAGTTAAAAATAATAACCCCTATTTTCTTTTAAATCCGTAAATTACTTATAATCCGTTAATAGGTACTTTAGGGTACCTACTTTAAGTAATATAAGTATCCAAATAATTTAGTCGTTCTACGAATGGTATAGAATCACACAATTCAGAAATAGGTTTTTTTTTTTACAGGGACCTACCTACATTAAATTTGATATTACCTGCATTAATCGTAATGTAACATTGCAATGAATATACCTGCCTGCCTACGTATCTATCTCCTGTCAAGATAGTCTGATTTTTTATTATTTTATTCAGTGTACCTTTGTATGTCCCTATCATTGAATTTTCAAAATTAAGATTCATTAGGTAGGTAACCTACCTAGGTACATTAAATTATATTACTATTAGGTAGGTACCTACCGATCACATTCTTAAATACCTACGTACGAATCACTTTTCTACCTACCTTAGGTTATTTATTATTATTGGAAGAAAGGTAATACTATATACCTACCCATTTTATTGCAATAATCCCTAATTAGGTATAAAACCTAGCTATGCAAAAAATGTGTAATATAAAAAAACACACTAACATTAACGTACCTATTTTTTTAGATAACGTATTTAAAATTGGTACTTTGCGTTTATACCTACGTGTTATTCTCGACATATACGGATTACAAAATGGCACCTCAGTTTTAAAGTTGCTTTCTATTCTACATTGCCCACGCAACGCAATGCCTACGTGTAATCAAGGTTATTGAATCGATAGAAAATAACTAAGAAGTGCCATCTATATTTTAAAAGCTTACGTGATTTTAGAATGCTGTTGGATTAAATGCGAAGTTGAGGCTAGTAGTAAGAGATGGCGCATCGCAATAGTTGTAAGTATAAATACAAGAGGGCGCTATGATTTTTGATTTCTTTACTGAAAATAAAAATGTACAAGTAACTTGAAAATAAAATAAATGTGTAATTATTTATTTTATTAAGGTATTCCATTGGTATTCCTTGTTAACTATATTATTATCTATTTACAATTAGTAAACTTTTTAAGCTGGATTTATAAACAAATTACGTTCAGTTGGCGCTCAGTTCGAGTTGACAAGACATAACCACAAATTCCACAAAATCAAATTATATTTTGTTGTTATTTTTGATTTAATTATATTTGTAGATGGTGTTGGTCATACAATAATTATAAATCCGTTATAATTTCTTATCCAAAACATACTAACCATGTAATTCTGCTTTGTTTATGTTGAACTCGAACTGAGCGGGAACTGAACGTAGTTTATAAATCCAGCTTTAGTTTCTATTTTTTAACCTTAAAAATATGTTATTGCGTCAGATACAATCAAAAGCAGCAAAACACATTACTTTAATAATTATTTAATAATTTCTGTGCTACAAATTAATTCCCAATTTTAATTATTAGCAGAGATTGTTTCTGTTATTAGTCAGTAAATTAGCATAGTTCCAAAATTTTGATATCAAACAACTGCTGCCATCTTCTGTCAAATAGAAATAGGTTGTAACGGTTTCTGTATTAAAAATCCGAAATCAGGAGTAGCTATGTCTTAAGTTTACCATTAGATGTAGCAGATCGTAACGGAAATACATACAGAGAGTTTTTCGAAAATATATTTGAAAACTATTAGGAATTAGGTAGTTAAAAGGAGTAACGTTTAAAAGCTATGAGTGACTAATATAGTATTTAACTGTACCCATTGAATCTTTGACGGTTTGAGGCAAATTTTTTAAAGAAACCAGAATAAACCATTCATTAGTTTATAATCGTATATAAATAATGAAATAGATACTACTATCGTGATAATCCTGTACAAAATTAATGAGTAAATATGAATTGATCGATTTAATATACCTATTATTGCGTTAATTGGTCCAGGAGTGTATGATGAATAATTTTGTCCTAATCTCTGGACTGACTCAGTAGCACTCAGTAAACTGATTGCTGTGTGAAAAATATTGCTTTGTCTTATTATTGCAGTCTTCAATCTGTACTTACCTAGATAATAAATACATACATATTTTGAAAGTGGAAGCAAATGGCAAACTATAATAACTTAACGATGAAGGGATCTGGGGAAAATAAGGTAAGTGAAAAAACAATTTGATTCTTGGTCTTTTAAGTTATTAAATTTTAAATTACCTACATAAAAAAGGGACTATACCACCTTTGCAAGAGTTTCGTAGGTGTTCTGTGGTTTCGTAGTAACTTCTAAAGTGTATTTTTTATTAAAAGAAATGAGAAAATTGAGAATTTTTGTTTTTAATTTGTTTCAGAAAAATTCTTATTTGCATAAATTAATTAGAAACGGAAATATCCATAAGATTAAATTAATGCTACCCTCTATAAAAGACATCAATGAAAAAAATGACCAGGGATATCCTCCATTATTGTATGCTTGTGAGCAAGAGAACAACGATGAAATGTTAGAACTTTTACTTGAACAGGAAAACATCGATCCCCTAGCTCAAGAAAGCATAGAAAAGCAAAACGTTTTGCATATACTTGCCTTCAAGGGTAAGCTTTTTTGGATAGTAAAAGTGTTCGAGAAATTTCCAGATCTGCCAGTGGACACTGTTACAATAGATGGAAATACTCCATTAATAATGGCTGCTAAAATGGACCACATTGATGTTATTGAATATTTGCACAGGAAAGGTTAGTAATAAAGTGTTGCAACATTGTTAAAATAAGGAACGTAAAAATGGCGTGCCCTCCCGGTGCGGAAAGGCTTTTTTGACCTATATATGGTATTTTTTACGACAAATTTTTATGATATTTTTATATGACATTTTTTTATGACATTTTTTTGTGACAATTCATTATGACTTTTTTATGACACTTTATGACATTTTATGACTTTTTTATGACACTTTATGACATTTTATGACTTTTTTATGACATTTTTATGACATTTTTATGACATTTTTATGACATTTTTATGACATTTTTATGACATTTTTATGACATTTTTATGACATTTTTATGAAATTTTTATGACATTTTATGACATTTTATGACATTCTATGACATTTTATGACATTTTATGACATTTTATGACATTGTTATGATATTTTTATTACATTTTTATTACATTTTTATTACATTTTTATTACATTTTTATGACATTTTTATGACATTTTTATGACATTTTTATGACATTTTAATGACATTTTTATGACATTTTTATGACATTTTTATGACATTTTTATGACATTTTTATGACGTTTTTATGAAATTCTTATGACTTTTTTATTACTTTTTTATGACATTTTTATTACTTTTTATAGCATTTTATTATGACATTGTTTTGTTTACTTAATTTTTGAAAGAAGTCTGCGGGGACAACAAAAGTCTTACGAGTGGGCTCCCAAGAAACTCTTCACGTCCCTGAGAGTCTGATTCATTAAATTTCGATATTTATAATGTCTATATATTGACCAGACAAAATTAAAATGAGATATCTTTATATCATCTATCTTTAAATGTCATACGCCAATATTCTAACGAACTAATATAATTTATATAGGGAAAGTACCAAATATCAAGTATGACACATAATCGAAAAGTTAATTTTATAGGTAATTCAGCAATATGATTATTCATTGTGCTACTTTTAATTTAAACGCCCTCTAGCGGAAAAACAAACTTTTTTGTCAAAAGTTAAAAGGTTTATTACAGTAAAAATCATGGAAACTTGATTAAATCTAATTCCATGTTAAATCTAAACGAAAACTATTTTTTTGCTTCTATATGAAATTTTAAAACATTTTTAAGATTAAAGTTTTAATTAAATCATGTTTTCTAAAACGATATTGTTTGGATTAAGTATTATATTCATTCAAAATTTTGAAAAATATAGAAAACATTTAGTGACAAAATGGTAGTTTACACAAATTTGAGAAAAGGAGTTGAAATTAAAATGTATCCACCTTTTTAAAGAGATTATTTAAAAAAATAAGGACTTTATGAGTTCCCAGAAAGAGCAAGGCAAAATTATAATCAACATTATTATTTGGACAGCATTTTTAATAATTATCATTCGATATGATTGGGTTTTATTTATTAGTTTTGTCTAAATGTGTTGTATCTCTGTTTGTATTGTCTCAAATTTCTATTGTTCTTATTAGTTATCTTGTTATTATTATTATTATTAATATTTAAAGTTATCTTCATGTTTATTCCAAAGACATGTTCATAGACTGATGCGTGTGTGTAATTATAGTTTATAATGAAATTTTTTATATAAAATTTTCAGGAGCGAACATTAATCACACAAATGAAAAAAAATATACTCCTCTCCACTATGCTGCCATTAACGGATACCCCATATCAACAAAAAGGCTACTTGAGCTTGGTAAGTTAATATTTTAAATAATAATCGCACTGTGTGAAAAATGATTTGTGACTGGATAATTTGAGTTGTATACAAAAACAAAGTAAATTTAACTTTAGCGGGTGCAAACTTTATTTACCAATAAAAATATTTTAACTAACATAGTTCTGGGAAGGATGGGTTGCTCTACATCATTTATGCCTCAATATAACCATTGTGCATCTTCCTGAATCGATGAGTTCGGCAGCCGGCGTTTAGTGACAAATGCCAGGTGCAGTAAAATTGACGTGTAAGGCCCCTGAAAATTGGCAATGATTATGTTCTCTGAGCCTATAAGGGTTAAGTTGTGATTTCGAATTCAATTATTTTGAGTTCGCAAAATTTAATAAAAACAATGATTTTTTAATCTCTTTTACATATTTTTAGAACATGATCTAGTACATTGAAACCCTTAAATCTTAAATATGTGTAAGTTTATAATTTCCCATACAGCACAAATTATTTCAGAAATATTTTAAACATATAACATTTGAAGTACAAGTTTCTGTAATATTTTAGTTAAATATTTCACTGAAAATGTTTCATAAATGTTACACAAAAGGTTACAGAGTGGGTTATGTTGTAAAAGGCCAAGACTTAAAAAAAATTTCATTTGTAAGAAGATGCCCAGCAAACACTGATATGGAGGAAACTTGTCGGCCGATAATTAAAATTATGGTACAAAAATACGGCAATTAAACATTGCATAATAAGTAGTTTAGTTTAACGTTTAGGGCCATATTTACAATCATTGGCACTTTTTTATTTTTACTGCATTTAGATGGAAATGAATGTTATTTCAATCATACTTTTCTCAGGCGCTTTTTAAGCACATTTTTTTCACCTGACCAATAACATTTTAAATTACATCATGTTTACCGGGCCGGCACTACGATGTCTGCTCATGCGCAGATAAATTCGGAACTGCTGTTGGAACTAACCTATTATTAATACCATTTTATTTTAGGTGCAAACATAGATGCCCGAGATGACCGTAAATGCACACCTTTAATGAAAACCTGCTCTTGGAATTTTCTAGAAATCTGTAAAATTCTTGTATACAATGCCGCCGATATTGACGCACAAGATAGCTTAGGAAACACCAGTTTAGCTCAGGCTGTAAAAAGGGGATACACCGAAGTGGTCAAATTTCTACTTCAAGCAGGCGCAAATCCAAACATCACCTCAAAAGATAATTATAATAATATTTTCACGCCACTTATTAGTGCTTGCAAGCTCAATAACATTGTTTTAGTAAAAATTTTAATAGAAAAGGGATGCGATGTCAATTATCCAGGTAATGATTATTCTGAAGCATTGTTCCAGTGCATCAGAGTAGGCTTTTATGATGGAGTACTCGAATTGCTTAAAGCTGGAGTAGATCTTTGTGGAAGAAATCCTAGAAACAGAAAAACTCCTTTAGAACAAGCTATAAAATTTAATCAGGACGATATTGCATCATTAATTCAGGAAAATTTATAAATATCTATGTTTTAATCTTAATAATTTTATTATATTAACAATATAAAATGATATTTTATTGTAAAAAATACACTTAATGTCTCTCTATGTCCATCTACTTAGGATATTGAAGCAGGATATTATTATCGCTTATTTATTTATGTCCATATGTTACTCATCCGTTTATAAATCTATCTAAAAAATAGTTTATATTTTTATAAAAAAAATTACTAATTTTATCATTATTTATAGTTTTTAATTATTTAAATACATATTTTAATAAAAAAATAAAAATTATGTTCCTTCATTTATCCTCTTGCCTTTAATTTTTAAATATTATTTATTTTGTTTGGATTACTGCATCCAGGCGCGGATCTGGGAAGATTTTTCGGGGGGGGTATATAATTTTATCAAAGAATCATTCGTTTATTTAAAAAATAACAAAAAATACTGTATGCCAGCCTGTGCTTCTCTATTCTTCATTCGTCACAGTCATCTTGTTTTTTTTGCTTTCTCGATAATCTCGTTGTTTTTAGATTACAATTTAATAAATTCCTGGAATTGTTCGAGCAGACGAGCAGTTCGGGGGAGGGGTAATTACCTTATTACCCTCCCTTGTATCCGCGCCTGACTGCATCTTTTTTTTTAGCACGACGAGGAAGTATTCATCTCAGCTTTTTGGCATAGTTTGTATTTTTTACGACTTGGTTTATTATCAGACTGATGATGGCCTCATTCTGCCGAAACTAGTACTTTAATTATAACGAGTGATCCACAATAGTAATTTGTGCAACGAGAGTGGATATATCATCGACATATACGGACAATCCACTCGAATTGTACGACCCACTAACGAAAATCTACAAAATTTTAAAAATTAATTTAGATGTTATTAAGATAAAACGAATTTATAAAATATAAAATAATATTAGATTTGAACTCCGAAACTGCGCATGACAAAGTACTCTACTTCTGCAGGCAAACGAGAATATATTCTGAATCCTTTGATGACACAAGACAGCCCTTCGATTTTATCTTCAATTCAAGGGTCCTATATCATCGGGTAGAAGCAGATTAGCAAATGTATCTAAGATCGATTCTTCACAAGAATCACGTACTTATTTTTAAATATATATCTTTGATTTCAATAACTAAAAAAGATACTGACCATTATTTTGAAAGAATTGTCAATTGTTTAAAATTTTAAAAAATAATAGTAATAGTAGCCCCAAATATGAACTGTGATTGGTGGATTTGATATCCGTACCTACACTGTTCCTATTAGAATGAATATGAAATTATATCCGTTCAATAGAACGCAATGGCCTCCTTTTTTGATCTGTATTATGTGCGTAGATTAGATAATCTACATGTGGCTGTAGAAAAAAAAATGTTTCTATATAGAAGACCATGATATGTTCGTGATAACTACGAACTCCTCTGAATTAAATCCAAACTCTCAGTGAAGAAAGAAGGCGTGATTTTTCCATGGACAACTTTAGGTCCGTATTTATAAACAGAACTCAGCTGAGTCGGACTTGGGTAAGTCTTCCTTGAACTAAAATCGAAGTTCGGTAACAAAAGTCTATATAGTTCCAGGTGGTTCCGGTGTAACATTGGAATTTAGAGATGGTTAGCAAATCTGTAACTGTTAAGTACATTTACGGATTTGTTACTACCCATCTCTAAATTCACGCGATATAACCGAACTTCGATTTTTATTCAAGGACGGCTCAGCCAAGTCCGACTCAGCTGAGTTCTGTTTATAAATACGGACTTTAGAAACAATTTTTGTGATTCACTCGGTCAGAAAAACTTATAAGATTTTAAAAGTTTCCTAGTTGATGACTCATCCACTAGAATTAAAATATTTAAATTACAATAGAATTTGCGTTATGCAACAATTTTAATAAAAAAAAAATTATAAAACCTACAGAATACTATTTAATTCGTTTCCAAGTTGTAGGTATAATTAATAGATGGCGCAACCCAATAGAAACTGAACAATTTGAATGTCAATGTGCATGTTGTAATCTCTTATTAGCATTTAGTCATTGTATAAATTGTATAGTTCTTTATACAATGATTTAGTTTTCGAACAACTAGAGCCATCTTTTGACGTATAGAAATAGGCAAAAATGGTTTCTGTTTTAAATAACTGTAATTATCAATACTACCAACCATTTTAATTTTATATACAACATATGCTACGTTTGAATATCCACATCGGATGCATCTGAGATGATGTAAATCTTTGATCACGTGATTCAATATACGTAAACGTAGTAGGACATATGTGTCCGATGTGGATAAACAAACGCTCGAGATGTAAAAAATGCATCGGATGTGGATATTCAAACGTAGCATACAGAACACAACTAGGCATTCCAAACAAAATGTTTTTTCAACGTTGGTATTGCAGATTCAGCAGTTTTAGAATTTGAACACTAGGTGTAGATGCTGTTAAAAGAAATACCTACGTTTCTTGTTTCAGTGGCTTCATGGTATTTACAAGTTTACACATCATATCATAATCATTTTGTTTGTTGCGTAATACATTGCAAAGTAAGATAACAATATTACCTTATTGTGTGATTTTTCTGTGCTAATTTAATTAAATACATCCGTTGATATTTTAAAAGATGGCTTCTTCTGGGGAGAATAAGGTAAGTGAGAATAAATCGTATTTTTTCAGTATGAAGACACCACATCCATTTTTGTAATTCAATATACCTACTGCATTTTCATATATAGGTAAAGTAGAACTTGAAAATATAGTAATATAAGAAAATTATGCACAAAATCCCGTTTAAAAATAATTTTATTGAATAAATATGGTATAGAAAATTATTGAGGAGTTGGGTTTCGAATTTTGGGGCTAGTTGGTAGGTTGGATTGAGAAGTTGAGGTCAAACTTGGTAGGTCTATGAATATATTTTCCCATAAATATGAAAATCACAAAAATTCTGCCATCGCATCCAACTACCTTATAGGGATGGGCCCGGTGTTTCCCTCAAAATTTTTTTAATAAAATATTCGGAATTAATTTTTGGAACAAATTTTAACTTGGAGTAGGGATTTTTGACGTGATTTTCATATTAATATCTCAATTCAAACTGCCTTATAGCCCCAAGAGCGGAACCCCAACAGCTATTTTTCTGATTTTTACCTCATACACATTTAACTTTTCCCGTCCTTTGTTGGGTAATTTAAGTGACCTTAAATTTAGTATTTTTAATGACTCAAGTGGGATCAATCTATATTTAAACATTTGAACCCACTTAGGTATTCAATAAACAAATAAACAGCAATTACCAATGGTTGTTATCATAATACTGTTATCATACTTTTCCTAGAAATTGTTGCTGCTATTGATATTTGATGATAATAATAGAATTTAATAATTTCTAATAGTGTTTCTCAAAGGAGGAAAAATAAATTAAGACTATCTAAATAACTCTTAATAGTTTTAATTCCAAAATTTCTGTTTGGTTATCATTGTTTTTGATTTTTTTTGTTCTTCATCCCAGACAGCACACCAAATCCTTTGGATATCTACTGAACATCCCAATATCCACTGAATGTCCAGTCCATGGTGGATATCTATTTTATATCCATGAAATGTAATTTATAGACATGCAAATGTCCATAAATAATTGTAATTATATAGCAAATTATTAAAAAATTACGCCATTGTACTCGCCATTGTGGCTAATAGTACCGTTGAGATATTTAAAATTAATTTTTTTTAAGGTGTATTCAATATATCCCATGGACATCCACTATAAATATAAATATATCAAAGTCTAAGCGCGGACGCAAACCATCGTGGATATCTACTAGATGTAATTTTTGATTTTGCTTCCTAAGTATAGATGGCGATACCACTTTCGTATCTACTCATGCTTAACCCGCCGTAATTGAGTTTGATCGACATTGTTTCACAAACAGACTTCATTAGAGAGTGAAGTCGAGAAGTTCCATTTATTGCTGAATATTCCTAATAAGGATGATTTTCTCCATAGTAGGCAAAATCAAAGGCAGATTGTTGGGAATATTTTTTACCTCTATTTTCTTTTGACGTTATTCAATAACAATTGGTTACTTATGAACCTCTACTAAAAATAATTATAAAATATTTATCTGAATTTCTATATCCTGGGATATAGACGGACATTTGGTTGGATATCCACAAAATATATTCTATGGATATATCTGGGATTTCTTGTATTGTCTGGAGATACTCATTAGATATTTTGCTGAATATCCATAGGATATCTTCTATATTCTGGATATAGACGGACATTTGGATATCCATATTAGTTCCACGGAATATTTCTGATATCCTGTGGATATATTGGATATCCACAAAATATATTCTGTGGATATCTCTGGGATTTGGTGTGTTGTCTGGGATGTTTTCTAGTTTTTATAATTTTCAATATTCTTCACATCTTAACCTAATTTTTAATTTTTAGTTTAGCAAACAATGAAATTACTGATTTTTTCACAAATACAGGTATGTCTTTTGGTAAATGAGTTTTAAATTTCAGGAGAAAACATACCCACTGCACAAAATAATAAAATCCAGAAATATCCATAAGATGAAAATAATACTACCAGTAATAAAAGATATCAATGAAAAAAACGACATAGGATATCCTCCATTGGTATATGCTTGTGAGCAAGAGGACAACGATCAAATGTTAGAACTTTTGATTGAACAGCCACGACTTGATCCCTTAGTCACGGAAACAAGAGAAATGCAAAATGCTTTGCATATACTTGCATTCAAAGGAAAACTTATGTGGATAAAAAATATATTCAAGAAATTTCCTCATGTACCAGTGGATTGTGTAACAAAGAAAGGAAATACTCCATTAATAATGGCTGCCAAAATGGATCATGTTGATGTTATAGAATATCTGCGTGAGAAAGGTTAGTACCTACATTATTGCAATAATAATTATGGAACATCAAAAGAAAACAATGATAATATGCAGGGTACTTCATATTTCATTTTCATATATAGGTACAGGGATTTAGTAAACCAGCAGACAGTTTGGGGAAAACTGTTACATATAAGGAAAATTGTTTTTTTTTGGGTTTTGTAGTTACAAATAAATTTAATTTACCTACATACATATTTAATAATAATAACAATTTATTAACTCTGGTTACAAAAAAATTGTCTATGATTGTTAGGTAATTTTATAGAATATACCTTAAAACAACATTTATTAAAACTATACAAAATAAAAGAAAAGATGAAATAACAATAATTTCTATTTATTCTTTTCTTTACATTTTTTGTTTTTTTATAAATTAATCCATTGAACCAAGAAGGTAGTGCATAGTAACTAAAAAATATATAATTCAGGGAGAAAAAATATAAAATTTATATCAAAGAATAAAAGGCTTTTTGCCTAAGAATATTTTTTATAAAATGGTTTAATTCTGCAAGGCTTTTTTGTTTGATATTTACTGACAAATAATTAAAATATTAAAAGTAACAAGTATTAAAAATTTTAAAAAACCGACTTCAAAAACGTGCAGATGCCATTACCACATCTTAACCAAATTTATATGGGACCATCCCTGAGGTACCCCCTTACTAACAAAAAAAGAATAATATAAATTGGACAAAGTGGTAAAGCATTATTGCTAAACATACATAAAAAGTGAAGAGTTTAAGGATTTTCTCATGGACCCAATTATTAGATTTTGACCAAATTTATAAGGGACCACCCCTGAAGTATCCCCTTTCTACCAAAAAAAGAATCATTGAAATCGGACACTGCGTTAAAGAATTATCGCTGAACATACATAAAAAAAAATATTGTGACGAATTGAGAACCTCCTCCTTTTTTGAAGTCTGTTAAAAATATAAAAGGATATTTTTATTAAATTTTTCAATGTATCGTGGGTTCACGAGTATCAAATTATTTTTATTATTATCTAAATATTGATAAAAATATCAGTAGATTATATTTTTTAAAAAGTGTTTTGCAAATTTTTCTACTATCAATAGCGACACCTCCTTAAACTATCAATGCTCTTTTCTGTATATTAAATTTTTTCAAAATTAATTGAAATTTTTTAAAGCAAAATGCAGTTAATAAACTATACACATTACACATAGGTACGTTGATACATTTATCTGCCAAATCTTCAATATTACTTTTCCAGTTGAGCGTTAAATCTAGTAACACTCCAAGGAGTTTAACAGTTACACTAGCTAGTTTTTTACTTAAAACTACATAAATTAGGTATCATCCAGATAATCCTGACTCAGACATTCATATAATACTGAGGTATTGGTGTGGGTATTGGCCACGTTTAGTATGGTAGTGTCTAATGGATGATTACCCTATTTTGACTAAAATTTTAACTTATTTTTCAATTACTCCCTGTAACATATATCTACTAAAATTGTTATGAAGTTTCATTGATATTCTACAAACCATTTCACAATCCCATGAAAATAGTGTATTACTGGTTGCATATATAAATTATTACATCGCCCATCAAATGGAAGCACATACTTTGATTCAAAGTATGTGAATGAAAGGCTGAAATTAGTTCTAGAACAAGCTCATAGATGTAGGTACAAAATTCGCCGTTGTCTATACGCTTCATTCGTAACTTCAGTTTAGGTATACTGAGAGAAAATATTTGTTCGGTATCGCTTCTCGGCCTCTGGCTAAGATCAAAGTGTAGTATCTGTTCTTATCAGCTTAATATCTGATACGCCCCGCATGCGGGGCCAGTATATTAAACTGATTTTTGGAAATTGATGGAGGGTTAGGAGCTTGCTCCACCTCCGTCGCGGGTTGGCCTGGCATTGCAGTACCGCCAGGATCGGCCCATTTTAGTAAATTAAAACGTAATTTTAGTAGTTACAACAATTTTGACATTTCTTAAAAACCTATCAAAGCCTACTAAAATTATTGAGGTTATTTATTTGAGTTTGCAGGCTTTTTCAGAAAATTTAATGTTCATCTATTTCAAAAAACTTTATATCGCTAGAGTAAAATAACTGACTTTCGGAGCATTAAATATACAGGGTGTTCCATTAAAAAAATTAAGAAATAAGTCTAAAAACCGCCATTTTGTTTTTCAGTAAACCGGAAGTACTAAATTTTGGATTGACTGAAATAAAACTTGGAATAATTTGATACATTTCGGTGAAAACCGCATGTTTTCAAGTACTTTCGTTTAAAAGTTATAAGCTTGCTAAATGTTAGAAAATATAATACCAATAATTTTATTTTCAACATTCCTACCCATTTTTTCCAAAAATAAAATTAGAAAAAGCAGTGGACAGAAATTGGAAAGGTTTTTGGTAACAATATTTAAAAGTCTTACTGTTACAGCAAGAGGTAAATGGCGTTGTCTAACAAATTATTATGAGAAACCAGTCTGCAGTTTCCATATTGCATCTGAAATTACTATTTTAATTATTAAATATTTAAATTGTAGTTTTTTAAGGATTTGTAGATTGCATTTGTGTAGGTTTAAAAGTCTGTATTTATCAACATTAAAACGCAGAACACGTTTTCATGTAAACAAATTATTCAGAAATATTCAAATATTTTCGTAAATAGTAGAGAAGGACTACCTACTAAGAATTTTTTTGGTGGAAAATAGCGACATTACACCTTCATTTAGATATAAAAGTAAATTTTTGATAAAATAGATAACCCTTTCTGTCAATTCACCCCTTTAATTAATTGTATTACACGGATATATAATACTAGAAATACTGTAAATATATATTTAAAAAAACAACCATAAAAGCTACAAATATGGCATGGCGGGCCGTTTTTTTAATTTTTTTTTTATCTTTATCAGTTAAGCAGGTAGGGTTTTTTTTTTCTTCTGGGCTCGTCTGACTATGTGTCTCCGAATAACACTGAAACCTGTTGGCTTATTGTGTTTTACCCCTCGTTAGTTCATAGCACCCACTCTGTCACCTTTGTACCTTGTACAAGTTTGTACAGCAGGTAGGGTTAGGTTTGGCCCAGAACACTGCAGCCTCTTGGCACTTGGCATATCATTTGATCTAGTGGTTAAATACATTCGACGCGCCTATTAAAAATTATATTTGAAAAACAAAAGCAAAGCAAACCTCAAAGTCCATGCCACAGCAAAATTTTCAACCGTTTTCTTCCTGAAAACAATTACTCCCTAAACTAATAGCATAACAGACATTGAATTATATCAAAAGGAAAAGAGCAGAGAGAAAATAATTTTCAACACTCTAGCTTTGATTTTGCTTCATAAGGAGAACGTCATAACTGGATCACATCAAATCACAACACCACAAACACGACATGTCATTATATTTTAACATAAAACATTTATATTTCATGTGCCAGGTCATGATTAACTCATCAGTGACCTAATGTAATAAAATAAATAAATATTATCTACTTATTAAAAAGAGTCAATCCAAGATTAATTCGCTTTAAAGTCATTATGTATCCATCCAAAATTCCACCAGTCAAAATTTCCACCTGATGGGGAAATTTCCAACCAGACGGCAACACTGGTGTAGGTACCAGAGAATCTTAAATAATGTACTAATCTATATTGGACAATAATTGTTCTAGAGTTGCAATAACTACTGATGGCACCATATTGTAATTGTTTTTGTTTTAATTTACTTCAAAGCCCAAATAAATTTGGGCTCCTCCAAAAATTTATTATTATTTTATTATTATTACCCGGTAGATTCATAGGAGGAGGCCATCGGATAGACCTCAAGAATCATTTTTAATACAGTTTTTTCGAGTACCTCTACATCACTGTTACGTACGATGAACGAAAGCACCTTAAAATTTAGCCCTGCCATCTAGTGGCGCTACTAGTAAGATTAGTACGTAATGCTCTGTAATTTCTCAGAGAACGGACTCGGAATTTGACTTAAGTACAGTTTCGGTCTACCAGGTGCATACCTACCTAAATATTACTGGGTTGAGTAAAAAAACAAAGCCGTACGTTTACGTTTAAAAACTTAATTTATCTATTTTAGTAATATTTATCTACATCTACATACCTAGTCAACATAAAATATAACACATAAGCAGAGGTTATACCTACGAGGGCAATCCGGTTTTCGGTTTCCCTTTCGGACCTATGACGATATCTTCGCCTATATTATGTTGCTGTTATCTATTTAAATAATAAATATAGCAGCCCTCGCGCCTTTCCTGTAGGCATTATTCAAGTTTTGTCGTTGTCATGTACCTATATTTTTGTTTGAGTTAAATGTTAAAAAGTAAAGGATCTGCCAAAGCCATCCTACATAAACATGACTAATATAGGTAGTAGGTAGCCCACAACAATATGGTTCATAAGAGATCTCGCTATTTCGTAGGACTTTGTGGGCAAAAAATGTTAAAAGATCAAAGGTCCCAGTCGGAGTGATCCAAATTATTGAAGGTCTGTTTTGATTTTGAGAAATAATGATCGACAATAACTATCTGGCTCATGCGCAAGTAGATAAAAAACCGTCCTGGTTCTTCTCGGACTACTTCAGGCGAGTTCGGATAGTCAGGGGCTGGAGCGGGACAAAAGCGGAGTTTTTTAGAGTGCTTTTAAATGACATTTAAGCCTGTTAAACTGTCACTAATCGGACTAAACCGAACGCTAAAAGGGTCGTTTGGAGTAAAAAGTTTTAAAGGAGTTAAAGGAACTTGGCAGACCGAACGCAATGTTCGTATCACCCAGTTCAATGTTTTGTTTCGTATCTGAAATAATCCGTGATTGTTGTAAACAGTCAAAATGTGTTTGGATCTGGATCTTACTCTATTTTGACCGCGCATGTTTTTCTTTTTAGACCAAACAAAACCTATACAATCCCAAATTGTGTATGGACTGCTAATTTCTCTTGTTTTATTATTTGTAAATAAATGCAATTTTAGAATTAATTACTTTTTTAACATTCTTCAGTAATTCAAATGAAATGAGTGAATTAAAATTACATCTTTATTTGGATGGATGGGTGTTAAATTTAACAAAATGAGGCCGATTAAAACAAGAGTTATAAAATTATGCTTTAATTTACAAAAATTGGCCGATCCTGGCGGTACTGTAATGCCAGGCCAACCCGCGACGGAGGTGGAGCAAGCTCCTAACCCTCCATCAATTTCACCAGCACGGACCCGGCTCATTTTTTGTAGCTTTTTTGTTACGCCTGTCTCGATTTCGTTGCGAGGCCTGAACGTGAGAGAAATGTGCGTTAATTTAAAACTAATTTTCGGCCTCTACAAGTAATAGGTGCAACTCGATAGTGTGACTATCTGTTGATAGATGGCACCAGTAATCAGTATTGCATTTCACGAATTATGGCCATCTTTCATCCAATATATTTTTGAGAAATTTAGATATAATCTCAAAATCGGACATTTGTTTTTAACAATCAAACAAATAAATTAATATACCTAGTAAGTGTATTTATGATCAATGTTTATGATTTTCATAATTTTCTTGATTCATATCATTATGATAATCACCAGATTTGGCCCCAGACACAAACATTAATAAACTGTTAGGAATAAAGCCCATGTTACCACCAGCATAAACTATAATAAGTCTCTTTCCTTTCGAAATGGTGGAAAACAAACCTTTTGCATTATCATCACCCCAATTATGTGATGATGCATGGTTACTATGTATATAAGTTTCATCAATATATACAATGGGACGGTTTTGGGAACGAAAATATCTTTTTTTAATATAATTATTTTTTCCTGATATTAAGCCGTTCCATTAGAACTTGTCTGTTTCGCGTTTTTCGCCACTTGCATCCAATTTTTTTAAAATAATTCTTAATATGTAGCTCCCTTTTCACCCAATTTTCCACTAAGAGAGAGACTATTACGCGCATACCTTATGTTTCCTGAAATCTATGAACTATATCTCTGATTGTTTCAATATTATAGGATGGAATGTCTGTTACACTTGATGTTCTTTTGCGCTTTTTTGGACTTTTAAACAATTGTTTAGGTATGGTCGACGTAAACTTTTCACCTTTTGATATCTCATACACCTTCTATAATTATTCGTTCAATTGTTTTTACCGAGTATCCTGTAGATTCAGCAACTTGTTCTTTAATTTCAGTGAGAGTTTTGAGATCATCGTTCACAACACATTATCTATAAGTTTCACTATCATCGTTGTTTAAAAACAAATTTGATTCATTAGGCTAAGTATGTATATATCTGTATAGAGACAATAAATTATAATCACAACAAATTAGTAATGTAACTTAACGTAATTTATTGTCTTTATACTTTAATTTTTTTTTATTTTCAATTTCTAGTTATAGTTTATAGAAAAAAAAATTGTTTATTTTTAACTAATTTTTTTTTTAATAATATGAGCGTTATAGGACTTTGGTTCTCAGCTCATGTCAGTGAATAATAATAATAATAATAATAATAATTAATAATAATAATAATAATAATAATAATAATAATAATAATAATAATAATAATAATAATTAATAATAATAATAATAATAATAATAATAATAATAATAATAATACTAGATGGGATTGGCCAATTCTAATAGAGTTCTGGTCTCTTTTATCCAAGCGTATCATAAAATTTACATGACATGCCAACAAAGTAGAGTTGAGTAATTTTAAGAGCTTACGCATTTTCCTTTTTAATAATATATAGCATAATAACCTTGTTATCTGTAAAAAATGGAATTAGAAGGTTTTCATGTTAAGATAACGCCATGTAAATTTAATTCATCATACTTTCAAATAAAGTTTACATGTTTTATTGAACAAACCGTTATTTTTCGATAAACTATCAACTGGTAAAATCTTGACTATATAAAATTGATCATCCTGTATTTATTATTTTACATTTTCAGGGGCGAATGTTAATTATACGAATGACAAAAAATACACTGCCCTCCACTATGCTGCCAATAACGGCTACATCAAATCAACCAAAAAGCTGCTTGAGCTTGGTAAAGTTCATTGGGTAGGAAATGCGAATAAGTATTCATTTTTTTTTTAATTTTAGGTGCAAAAATTGATGCCAGAGATGACCGTAAATGCACACCATTAATAAAAACCTGCTCTTGGAATTTTTTGGAAACCTGCAAAATTCTTGTACACAATGGCGCTGATGTTGACGCAGTTGATGCAATAAGTGTTAGTAGTTTATCTCACGCTGCAAAAAGGGGATATATCGAAATTGTTAAATTTTTACTTCAAGAAGGCGCCAATCCAAATAGTGTCTCAAAAGATATGTACAATAATATTTATACGCCTCTTGTTAATGCTTGCAAGTTGAAAAACGTTGTTTTATTGAAAATCCTTATAGAAAATGGGAGCGATGTCAATATTCCAGGAAATTATTCCGCGGCATTGTTCCAGTGCATCAAAGTAGGCTTTTATGATGGAGTAGTCGAATTGGTTAAAGCTCGTGTAGATCTTCGTGGAAGATATCGTCAAAATGGAAAAACTCCTTTTGAACATGCTACAAAAAATAAGCAACACCAGATAGCTTCATATATTCAAAGAAATTTATAATTATTTTTTAAATTTTTTTATTGTTAGTATATAATAGCTTATAAAAAAAAATGTTTAATTTTTATTTTAAGCCATAAAATTCTATTATTTTGTGAGTATGATGTAATCATTAAGGTTTTAAACACAATAAATATGTTAATTTTTCATTTTAAGGTGGAAGTTTAAATTTAACCTATTTAGACTTCTGAGCCGTTACATATAGGTCATTCACTGAATTTACACCCATATCGGATTAAGAAATAAATGAAAGATTTTACTGGTCAGTTGTATTTTAAACATTTACTCATGGGTGGCGTTATTTTGTATATTGCAAGGGGTTCTTATAGAAACAAAATAAATATAAATTTTAGGTATTTAATTTTGCCTCAGAAAGCTTAAAAGAGATAGAGGAAAGCGAAAAAAGATAGTTACCCCTCCAAATTCTCCCCCTCTTCCTCTGCTACGCCTAAATAGTAGACAAAAATAGAAAAAATAGAAGAAAAAAACTACACATTACTAGGTTGTCATTTTAACCAAATTCTATTATTATATAGTCAATATAGACTTTCAATATCAATGTGTATATTTATTTTAAAACCAAAAAAAGGATTATTTTTAATTTATTTTCTTTTTGCAACTGGTGACATAATGAATTTTTCTAAACCAGTTATGCAACTGATTACGTAAAGTTCATTTTTACACTTGCTGCGATTACAAAAAAATGTCACTTTATATGTCAAGATTAGAAAAATATATTTATAAAAGTTTAAAAAAAAAATTTTAATTTAGGAAAACAAAATGAAATGGCACGTCATCACTAATTTAGCCTATTCTAATTTTTAAATCCTTAGAACTTTTGTCGGGTTTCTGATGAACTGGTCTCGTTGTTGTCAGCACAGGTGCGGCTCGCCATATTTATACGCGCCTTAATATTCATGTTCATAATAATTTTGTTTCCTGCTTATTACATTACCCATTAAGATAAGATAGTATTACTTATTTTTTATCTGATTTTTCTGAATGTATAGTTTTTGGTATAAAAATGTAGGTAAATAATGAAATAAATCCGTTGATATTTTAAAAGATGTGCTCTTCTGGGGAATATAAGGTAAGTAAAAATACTTAAATCTGATGTCTTTCCAGTTGTGAAGGTGAAGACACACATTTTTGTTATTAAATACATTGCATTTTCATGTATAGGTTAAGTATATAGAAGCGAATTGCTTTATTTCCACCAATTCCTTTAAATGCACTAATTTGAAACAACTAGGTTTTTTTTTTAATAAATGCTCCAAGTAAGATCAATTAGCAATTTTATTTTTACCTAACTTATCTAGGGATGAAAAACTTCATAAACTAAGGTTCTACTCACTATATAGTGTACTTGAGAGTCTAATTATTTAGTTACACTACCGTTAACGTATAACACTTAAACGCACTATACTGTTTTAATCTAACATAACTGAACTAACTCGAAAGGCCTGGTTTTCTTGAGTCTTCTTATTAGATTGGCATTGTTGAGGAGCTGGATAATGGCAAATTTTTGTATTGTATTTTCAACAGTGTCCATTTTAAGATCCCTATGAAGATCAGTATTGCGGCAGTACCAGGATGCATCGACGATGTTCCTTAATACTTTATTCTGGAAACGTTGAATAACTTGGATGTTACTTTTACTGTCACAGCCCCAAAGCTGGTAAATTGCTTCATTTCCACCAATTCCTTTAAATGCACTAATCTGAAACAAAATATAGGTAATTAAAAAGGATTTATACGAATTATTTGATTATCATAATAGTTTTATTAATATTGTTTTAAATTAACTATAATAAAAGATCCACCTAAGCAAGCATTATTTATTTAGTTATCACCTTAATTTCTAAAGACATATTCTGCTTCCTATATAACAAATTCACAACGCATGAATATCACAAACCAACAACTCAAATCTATAATTATTTAGAATATAGGCTTCTTTCTAGCTGGTGACTGCACAGGGACGTATGTTGAAATAAACTAACTACATATCCCATCTTCTTCTTACAAATTAGAAATTCTTCATTAATTGTTGCCCTTTTACAACATAACCCGTTTATTAACCTTTTGTGTAACATGTATACCATGTTGCAGAAACATTTTCAGTGAAATATTTAACTAAAATATTTCAGAAACTTGTGCTTGAAATGTTATGTTTGAAACGTTTCTGAAACACTTCTGAAATAATATGTGCTGTATGGACCCAGACAACACCAAATCCCAGAGATATCCACAGAATATCTTTTGTGGATATCCAATATATCCACAGGATATCAGAAATATTCCGTGATTCTAATATGGATATCCAAATGTCCGTCTATATCCAGAATATAGAAGATATCCTATGGATTATTCAGCAAAATATCTAATGGGTATCTTCCAGACAATACGAGAAATCCCTGAGATATCCACAGAATATATTTTGTGGATATCCAATATGGATATCCAACCAAATGTCCGTCTATATCCCAGGATATAGAAGAATTCGGATATTCAGCAAAATATTTTATGGGTATCTTTAGTAGAGGTTCATAAAAGTAACCAATGTTTATTGAATAACGTCGAAAGAAAATAGCAGAGAAAAAATATTTTCAACACTCAAAATATTTTCAACATTCTGCCTTTGATTTTGCCCACTAAGGCGAAAGTCATCCTTATTAGGACTCTTCATCAATAAATGGAAATTCTCGACTCCAGTCTCTAATGGAGTCTGATTGGGAAACAAATTTCGATCGAACTCAATTACGGCGGGTTAAGCATGAGTAGATGCGAAAGTGGTATCGCCATCTATACTTAGTAAGCAAAAGCAAAAATTACATCTAGTGGATATCCACGATGGTTTGCGTTCGCACCTAGACTTTGATTATTTAGTGGATGTCCATGGGATATTGAATACACCTTAAAAAAATTAATTTTAAATATCTAAACGGTACTGTTAGCCACAATGGCGAGCACAGTGGCATAATTTTTTAATAATTTGCTATATAATTACTATTATTTATGGACATTTGCATGTCTATAAATTACATCTCATAGATATAAAATAGATATCCACCATGGACTGGACATTCAGTGGATATTGGGATGTTCAGTAGATTTGGTGTGCTGTCTTGGGATGACTTCTAGTTTTCATTTATTGTTTTTATTTATTTTCATTTTATTTTTCTCCTCATAACATATACCCATGTTTCACTAAATTAATCTTAAATTTCAGGAGAAAACTTACCCCTTGCACAAAATAATAAAATCTAGAAATATCCATAAAATGAAAATAATACTACCAGTAATAAAAGACATCAATGAAAAAAACGACATAGGATATCCTCCATTGGTATATGCTTGTGAGCAAGAGGACAACGATCAAATGTTAGAACTTTTGTTTGAAGAGTCAAACTTAGATCCTCTAGTTACAGAAACAGAAGATATGCAAAATGTTTTGCATATACTTGCATTCAAAGGAAGGCTTGTTTGGATAAAAAAGGTATTCGAAAAATTTCCACATGTACCAGTGGATACTGTTACAAAAAAAGGAAGTACTCCATTAATAATGGCTGCCAAAATGGATCATGTTGATGTTATAGAATATCTGCATGAGAAAGGTTAGTACATGATTGTAACATTAAACAGAATTAAATAACGCATCATAAAAATAAAACAATGATAATATGCAAGGTGGTTCGAATTTCATTTTCAGGTATTTCTTAAACCAGCAGATAGTTGGTTAGGAAATTAATTTGACGAAAATCACTACAAAAAGAAATGTAATTTAACTAGTTATTTAGTTAACATATTCTAAAGGATAATTTTTACTTACTTTTCACTGACTCTAGTAACATATTGAGAGCCATTTTCAACCAGTTCGGTCTTGCTCTATGTTTCGTTATCGCTGTTCAAATGAGACGTTTAGATGCTTGCGAAAAATTGTAGAATTTACCGGAAACACCACAGTATTTTATGATGGAAAAACCCTCTTATAACAGAAATATTAGAAAATGACCCAAATCATGATGTTAATCAGTTTCATTTCCAGCAAGATGGAGCACCTCCGCAGTATGTTGGTGCTGTAAGAGTTTTTAAATAACCGGTACCCTGGACAGTGGATTGGAAGAAGAGGGCCAATTGAATGGCCTACAAGGTTACCGGATTTATCGCCTCTGGACTATTTTTCTTGGGGACACTTAAAAAATAAATGTTTTGCTACGAAGCCTAATTCTATAGAAGATCTTCGTCAATGGATAATAGCTGAGTGCAGGAGAATAACACCTGAAATTCTACAAAATGTTCGCAATAGATTTGAACAAAATTTGTATTATTGTGTCCCAGCATTTCTGCTTCTAGGTGGATAATTTTCACCCTCAAGGGAGCTAATATCGGAATTTAACCCAACAATATTAGCATTACTGAATTTCTTATAAAATTGCCTTTTCAAAGATGTGCCACACTCAGTACTTTCCCTATCTAAATTCTAGGGGTTGTTCTGTGTGTCATGTGTCTCTCTCTTCCACATCTCCAACTCCTTCATTTTAAATTAGGAAAATAACATGTGGGCACATCATTAGAAAGGTATTGCGATGCACTGTTAAGACATTATCGTCTATGACTTTTTTATAATTTTTTCCATGACAGCAAGAAAACGAATTTTGCAAACATATTTTTTATTACGCCTAAAATGGTTTATTCTATTGCAGAACGAGATAAAATTATTTTCATATTCTTTGAAAAATGGGAAGTGTGCAAGGAGAACGGCAAGTTTACTTAATCAGCTTCACGAAGAAAATAAAATTTATTTCTTATACGTATTAGAGCCAGTGGAAAAATTTCGCTAAACTGGATCCGTAGCTTATAAAAAAAAACTTTTAAAAGCGAGTTAGGACTGAAGCGGCTGAAGTAGCAATTTTAGGCCATATTAATTTGGATCCTACACGAAATTTGGCTTGAGAATCTGACTTTTCACGAAGTACTGTTTGTCGGGTATTGAAGAAAATAAATTTTATCCCTACATGATCCATTTGATACAAGAAATAAATGAAGATGACCGTCTAGGTTATCTTCATTTAGAGTCGCCTGTCATAAAATGAAAAAATAGAAATTAAAATTAAATCCGAAACTGCAACACCACTGTTCAGTGTAAAAAACTGCATAATATTTTTCAAATATTGTTTTTACAAAGGGGTTCTCTTTCCTAGGTAAAACTAAATATTCTAAGATAGTTCCTAAGAAAATGCCGTGACTTAGGAAGGAATTTGGTAATTCTAGCAAGATGTTCAAACGTAATTCCGTACAGATATACCCCTCGGTATATGATATATTATACCTAGTTCTCATTTTACATTTTCAGGTGCGAATATTAATCATACGAATGAAAAAAAGTTCACTGCTCTCCACTATGCTGCCAATAACGGCTACACCAAATCAACAAAAAGGCTACTTGAGCTTGGTAAGATCATATTTTACATACGAGTATTCATAAATATATGTTTTTTAATTTTAGGTGCAAAAATAGATGCCAGAGATGACCGTAAATGTACACCACTAATAAAAACCTGCTATTGGAATTTTCTAGAAACCTGCAAAATTCTTATACAGAATAGCGCCGATATTAACGCAGAAGATAACTTGGGTGTTAGTAGTTTAGCTTATGCTGCAAAATTTGAACACACTGAAGTGGTTAAATTTCTACTTCAAGAAGGCGCAAATCCAAATACCGTCTCAAAAGATACATATAATCATGTATATACGCCGCTTATTAATGCTTGCAAAAGGAAAAACATTGTTTTATTGAAAATCCTTATAGAATATGGGAGCGATGTCAATATTCCAGGAACATATTCTCAAGCATTGTTTCAGTGCATCAAAGTAGGCTTTTATGATGGAGTAGTAGAATTGCTTAAAGCTGGTGTGGATATTTGTGGAAGAAATCCATATAATCGAAAAACTCCATTGGAACACGCTACAAAATTGAAAAAACACCAGATTGCTTCATTAATTCAGGAACATTTATAATTATTTAAAATCGTATATTGAGAATATAATGTAGTCATTAAACAAAATAAAATGTGTTCATTTTTTTAATTGTAAAATTCTATTGTTTTGTTGGACAACTGTCATCGGGTACAAAGGAAACCTAAAATATATATGTTACAGACCATATATAAAATCAGACCGTATGTATATGGCCTAGGTCGTATACATAGTCTAAATTGGGCAGACCGTATGTAAAAAATATGGTATTTCATGTACGGACTAGACCGTTTATATACGGAGTATTGTGATTCAGGCCGTATGCTCGTGGATAGTTTACCGCTTTTTTACTTTTATACACAGATATAAGGAAAGTATAGGAATCATGATTTTTTTCGACCTCGAGTTTTCGACGGATTTTTACGTTTTGAGGTCCCCTGAATCCGTTTTGACTATTTTCGCGATGATGTCGGTGTGTGTGTGTGTGCGTGTGTGTGTGTTAAGCTATCGGAAGTTGCTTAGTTAAAAGAATACTTTGAGACAAGATTGGTGCTTTTAACTTTCAGTTCATTATCTAGGTCCATAATAGCCAAAATTGGCGAAAACAAATCACAATTTTGAACAAAGCACGCAACGCTTATTTTCAAATCTGCCGTGACAAAATCCAAAACGGACAAGATAACAGAACATTTGAATTCCTTTAATGCTTAAGTTGTTTCATCGTCTTTTCATCTGCATTGGGTTTCCATAAACTTTCAATCTAGTCATATATTCATACTGACATAAGACTTCGATTAATGTTACATATTCTTCTTCACAGAACCAACACAATGTGGTTTCTTCTGCTGGATTGATCATACCCTTGTGCCTTCTTAGGCTACAGTGTCCGGTAAGAAGATCTACTGTTTTTAATTATTTGCTTCTCTACATTGAGGAAAATTTTTTTGTTCTGTATAATGATGTTCGAACTAATACGCCCTTAAGTTCACACAATTTCAATAACTACCAAGTACTAATTTTATTAAAAGTTTATGATAAATAAATTTTAAGCTATAATTATGAGTATTATCTTCTAAAATCTCAATGGATAAATGAAATATTCGAAATATTTTTCTAGTTTACAGTAAATTATAATAACTAGCTTGGGCCCCTGGGTTTACCCGGCCCCACTCTTGAGGGGGACATGTATTTTTGCTCCGATAATATGATTAGATATCAATTTTAAATCAATTTGGAAAATTTCATTGTTACCTTATCCATATATTGTTGGTTACATCTACTTAGCCAGGCATTTATGTTTCACTTGTGGAACTTTTACATTTGTTCTATTCCATAGATCTTGTATGTTGCGCATAGTCCTGTTTTAAAGCACTTGATATCATTGTGACAAAAGAATAGTTTCTAGAATAAATAATTAATTAAATATATTCATTTATATTTTAAAAGATGGCTTCTTCGGAGGAATATCCGGTAAGTGAAAAGATTTAAATCGAATGTTTTTTTTTGTGAAGACACACCCATTTTTGTTATTTAATATATTGCATTTTTATAGATAAAGTAGAATTATAAGAAAATTATGCATATAATCAATCCTACATAAAAATATTTTTAAGTAACTATCAAGGTGTCCAACAAAGGGAGGTGCATATGGAAAAATTACCGTAGAAATTATTAAAATTAACAATGAGAAGAATGGGTACCATTCTCTTTATTACCATTATTTTTAATTTTAGTAGTACTTTTTTCTAATTTTTGCCTAATGCACATTTAATTACTGTGGTTAAAAGGAAAAACAATATGTAAATTTTTGGTGATTAGATAGATTTATTTTTTCAGTAGTTGGAGCGGAACAGGAGAAGAATTTTTAGGGTTTTTAATTGTCACTAAAGCGTGTTGAACAGTGACTAATCGAAAAAAAAAAACAATTGCTGAAAGGATCATTTGGAGTTTAAAAAGGGAATTTATCTTGAACAAACAACCGAGCTAATATCACTTGACTTTTACCTTTTGACCGCAGTAGTTCTTCCTATCCATTCGTTGAGAAATTGAAATAACCTCAAGAGGAAAGGGGGATCTGGGATCAATTTGTATTTGAACATTTGAACCCACTTATTAATTAATGATAATCATGCTGTTATCATTTTTTTCCTAGAAACTATTATAAATATGCAATACTATTTAATCATTTCTATTTAAATGTAAATTGTTCCTTAAACAAAGAAAAATACATTGAATGTCTAAATAACAATTACCTAATCCAAAATTCAGGGTCTGTCGAGAAATCCTCTAAGTGACAGATTCGATATTAAAAATTACAATGTTGCCAAGTTGTTAATGAAATTGTCAGTTTCAGGATTATTTAATATGTATAAATTACGAGATTATAAAAAACAAGAAGACGAAGCAACGAGTTTCATGCGGCCTGGACCTTCCACGAGTTGCCTCGCAAAAAAATATACATGAAAGAAGAACAATTTAACTAATAGTAAACGCCAAATCTAAAGAACCAGCGTAAATGCTCAAGTATTTACTTAAAAATCGCCACGCCCATTCACAATTTGAACCTTGTCCTTGCTTACAGTCAGTAGCGTAACGATTAGATCATTGTTTGTTTCTTGTTTCTGTGTTTTGGTTAAAGTGACTGGTCTTATTTTTGATAATGTCTTCTATTGTGGGTGAAAAAAGCGCAGATCTGTTAAAAAACGGACAAAGTCGTGAAGTAATATACAATGTTTTTAAATATTTTGACGCAACAAAAAAGGAAGGAGTTACTTTAGATGATATCAAACTTTAAAATGCACAAGCAACAGGTAAACATGCTCTGTAGTTTATTTGCAAAGTCGTGAAGTAATATACAATGTTTTTAAATATTTTGACGCAACAAAAAAGGAAGGAGTTACTTTAGATGATATCAAACTTTAAAATGCACAAGCAACAGGTAAACATGCTCTGTAGTTTATTTGCAATTAAACTTGCGTAGTTTTTCATATTTTTTTGTATTTAACACACATTTCTATGCATTTTATTTTTGATTAATATTTTATATTTAAATTTTTAAAATTTATCTTGTTTCTAAATAATTCCTAATAAATGTAAAAAATACTAAATTTAACATTAATATAATATTACGTTTTTACAGGTGTTTCTTATACTACCGTTAAAAGAATTTTGAAGGAAGCTGAACACTCAATGAAAACAACTGGGAAAATTACATTTTCCACATCTAGGAAAAACTTCGTCAAAAAATCAACCGCTACGAATCTCCCTGAATATCAATTGAGGGACATTCGAAGAATAATTTACGATTTTCATTTAACAGAAAAGTCTCGTGTTACTGTTAAGTTAAATAATAAAATTAAGGAAGATTTAGATATCCACATATCAGAAACTTCATTGAGAAGAGTCCTTAAAAAATTACAATTTAAATGGAGAAAAACACAAAATAATCGTAAAGTTTTGGTGGAAAAAATGAAAATAAGAACTTTAAGAGTAAAATATTTGAGACAGATAAAATATTTTAGAAGTCAAAATAGGCCAATCGTTTATTTAGATGAAACATATATACACAGCGGACATACTTCTTTCAAGAATTGGACAGACGATTCAACAAAAGGTTTGTTTTCTGTTATTTCTAAATGCCAAAGGCTTATTATAGTTCACGGTGGGGGAGAAATGGGTTTTATCAAAAATAGTTTGTTGATATTCAAATCAGGGACCAAGTCTGGAGATTATCATTCCGAAATGAATTCGGAAAATTACGGCAAATGGTTAAGAAAGAAGTTAATACCTAATCTTCCACCTAATTCAGTAATTGTTTGTGATAATGCTAGTTATCACAATGTACAGACAAATCGAGCACCTAAATACAATTCTTTGAAGAATGATATGATCGAATGGTTGACAAAATACAACATACCTTTTAATCCAACAAGTTTGAAACCACAGTTATATGAACTGATTAAATCTCATAAGGACCGACATGTAACATATGAATTTGATGAGTTGTTTCGATAATACGGCCACACCGCTTTACGGTTACCCCCATATCACCCCGACTTGAACCCTATCGAATTGATTTGGGCAACTATTAAGAATAATGTCAGTCAAATGAATGTTACCTTTAAATTAGAAGACTCAAAACAATTAGCAGAAGAAGAATTTAACAAAATCGGTATGGAGGAATGGAAAAAGAGATGCGATCATGTTAAAAAGGTAGAAGATAAATATTTTGAAAGAGAAATGCAAACTGATTTATGTTCGGAAATTAATCCTATCGTCATTAATCCTAATGAGGATTCCAGCGACGACAGTGACGAGTCTTCTTCCAATAAAGAATCTGACGAAGACATATGAACATTATTTATTTGTGATTTACTGTTTACGTTGTTTGTATTTACTTATAGGCTATATAATATAAAATTAAACATGTTAAAAAATCGGAAGGATATATTATTTCATATTTTGTTTATAAAAAAATTAATGTCAGTTAAAATACAAAATACTAGACCACCAGAGCTCTCCTTAAGACTGTTTTCGCGATACACTATTTTAGCTAAAAATTTTGTTGCCAGAATAATGTTTCTACACTTTTTATAAATATTCTCTAAAACGTTGAAGTTTATAAATCTATTAGTTTGAAAATAGTGACGAAACAAAGGCTCCAATATCAACTTTAAACAAATAGGAATTCAACTTTAATACTCTCTAACTTTAACAGCTATTAAAATTTAAATATCTTGTTTTCAGAATAATGTTTCTACACTTTTTATAAATATTTTCTATAATTTTGAAGCTTATAAATGTATTATTTTAGAAATAGTGACGAAACAAAGGCTCCAATATCAACTTTAAACAAATAGGAAATAATAATACTCTCCCTAATTCACCCCCTTACGAGTGAATTTCAACCCCCTGAAGTCGACTGAACGACTTGTCTAGGGGAAGGGACGGCTATTATTATTATTTGCCGTGGCGCTCCGGGGCGACTCAAAGATGATTGATGGTGCCATTTGACTTACAGGTGAGGAAAACCCTGAAAACCTCACCCACCATCATCGAAACGATAATGCATGGTGATTTTTTAATCTGCATGTCATATCAACAGAAATTGAATTTCTATTAATACGGCACACATCAAATCCTAAACCGAACCATGCAATTTAATTAAAAATCCGTATGGTCTGGGATTCGAAGCCCAGCAGTCTCGAACTCATAAACTCGCCTATAAATGAATATAAGCGCGTTAGACCGCTACACTACCAACTTTAATACTCTCTAACTTTAACAGTTATTAAAGTTTGGAAATCTTGTTTGCAGAATGTTTGTACGCTTTTTATAAATATTTTCTAAAATTTTGAAGTTTATAAATCTATTAGTTTGGAAATAGTGACGAAACAAAGGTCAACTTAAAACAAATAGGAATTCGACTTTTATACTCTCTATTTTTAACAGCTGTTCAAATTTAAACATTTTGTTTGCAGAATAATGTTTCTACACTTTTTAAAAATATTTTCTAAAATTTTATATTTCAGGTGAAAACTTGTCCCTTGCAACAAATAATAAAATACAGAAATATCCATAAAATGAAAATAATACTACCAGTAATAAAAGATATCAATGAAAAAAACGACATGGGATATCCTCCATTGGTATATGCTTGTGAGCAAGAGGACAACGATCAAATGTTAGAACTTTTGATTGAGCATCCAAACCTCGATCCCTTGGTAACGGAAACAAGAGATATGCAAAATGCTTTGCATATACTTGCATTCAAAGGAAAGCTTATGTGGATAAAAAAGATATTTGAGAAATTTCCTCATATACCAGTGGATTCTTTTACAGAAAAAGGAAATACTCCATTAATAATGGCTGCTCAAATGGACCATGTTGATGTTATAGAATATCTGCATGAGAAAGGTTAGTATATTGTTGCAACATTAAACAAAATTAAATTAAGCAAGATTAAAAGAAAACAATGTTAATATGCAGGGTGGTTCGGATTTCATTTTCATATGCAGTGATTTTGTAAATAGTCTGATTAAATGGTGTTCAAAAGAGCCCGTTTCGTAACAAGAGTGCGGTAGATGGTTTCTCAACGGAATCATATATTTTTTGGGGTGCTGAACACGAATATGAAGTTTGCTGCCTCGTAGCAGTGCCGCTTCAGGTCGAAAAACGCAAAAATCCTCGAAATTTTCGGAGTTTTTCTGGTTTTCCGCTCATATAATGAAAACGATGCATCGTACGGAAAATGTCATTCTATTCAAAGTTGAAGAGAATAAAATTCTGCGTCGAAAAACCTCCCTAACTTTCAAATTAGACCGATTTATAAGGTCGCCATCGCCAATTTTTAGCAACTTTTGTGAAAACTGCAAGAAACTCACTTTTAGACCTCTGTGATGTGAAAATAGCCACTCTACGTGAAAAACTTGTAGAACAAAAGTTGTAAAGCATCAAATTTTGCGTTTAGTGAGCATCGAAATTTTAAATTTGGATTAGTCTACACGCATATACTGATCATTTCTTCATTTTCCTTCTAAGCGCTTATTTGACCAATATGAAGGAGTTTCGCAAACGTTTGTGTAAACTGCAATAAACTTACTTTTAGACGACTGTAATTTGAAAACAGTCACTGTACGTGTTAGACCGATAGACCGTTTCACACTTGTCAGTTTTTCGTTTGCCATCACATCGAACGCTTTGTAGTTTGCCTCGCGCCTTGATTAAAATCGACGGTGAATTGTGTAGATGTAGATCTGCTGGTGATAATGATGAGTCTCAATACTTCTCCAAACGTCTATCTGGTGAAGCCTGGGAAAGGGAAAGCGTCTCAGTTGCTGTACCAACCACAGTCTGCAGTGAAACAAAATCTTGCCAAGCACATGATGTTTGCACGCAATGAGTGGATGCGACTCGACGTCATCTTTATATAACCAAGGCAAGACTAAATTCTTGAAGACTCTCTCTAAAAATCCCGACCTTGAAAAGACTGTTGGGAAATTCTTGGATCCGTCAGCCCAGCCAACGGAAATTCAAAAGTCTATCCATATACAAATTAAACAAATATTTTTGATCGTTATATCTATCATTTAACAATTTCCAAATAATATCATAATTATCTGGGATCGATTCTATTGAACTACAAGTTTTCAATGCCTTTCCTGACAGGGAGCCTAATAAATATTTTCATAAAAAATATATATACATAAATACATAAATCTTCTCCATCAAATTTAACAAGTTCAATTTTAGGCATTTTTATATTTATATCGCCACTACTATTGCGAATAACGTACAGGTTTTTTTCAACAATATTGTCGCTAAATATTCAATATTAGAATGAATTTCATGAAACGCATCTGAAATATTAAAATAATCCACTTCGGCCTCAGGATTCATTTCTTGTTTCAAAATAACATTTTCTTGCACAATTTGATCGAATTTAAGGACAGTTTTTTCGATAGTTTCGAATTTTTGTTTCATTTCGCGAATCTATTTCTAAAGCCTATACATTTACCTCTCGATTTATGATGAATTAAGTTTACTATTTTACATTTTCAGGGGCGAATGTTAATCATTCGAATAATGAACTTAAATTCACTGCACTCCACTATGCTGCCAATAACGGCTACACCAAATCAACAAAAAGGCTACTTGAACTTGGTAAGTTCAAATCATTCTGTAGGTAGGATATACGAGTAATAATAAATAATGTTTTTTTATTTTAATTGTAGGTGCAAACATAGAGGCCAGGGATGCCCGTGAGTGCACACCATTAATAAAAGCCTGCTCTTGGAATTTTTTAGAAACCTGCAAAATTCTTGTGCACAACGGCGCTGATATTAACGCAGAAAATGCAATACATTTAAGTAGTTTAGGTATCGCTGCAACTAGGGAACACACCACCGAACTGATTAAATTTCTACTCGAAGAAGGTGCAAATCCAAATACCATCTCTAAAGATAGATATGGTAATGTTTATACCCCTCTCGTTAATGCTTGCAAAGCGAAAAATGTTGTTTTAATGAAAATCCTCATAGAAAAGGGGAGCGATGTCAATATTCCAGGGAATTATTCTTCGGCATTGTTCCAGTGCATCAAAGAAGACTTTTATGATGGAGTAGTCGAATTGATTAAAGCAGGTGTGAACCTTTATGGAAAACAAAATCATGGTAGGACTGCTTTAGGACTAGCTAATTATTATAAGAAATATGATATAGCTTCATTAATTCAGGAGAATTTGTAATATTTTTTTAAATTCTATTTTTTTTTTTAGAATATAGGTAATCATTAATATTAAAATAAAATTGTTAATTTCGTTAATTTTGTATTTTATACCATCAAATTCTCTCAAAAAGATACTCTGTTCCCCTCTAACAAGACTAAATAAAAAGTTGGAGCTCATTTCTTAAAAAGTATCCAACATAGAGAGACGCAGACACCAGCAAGACATTTTAAATCGTTTACTGTAACGTAGTGTCAAATTTCATGAAGATCGAAGCAGAAATAACATTTTTCCATACTTACTCGGTTTTCGTTTCAAACTACTAAAAGTTGCAATTTCGTTGACAAAAATTTGGTATCAGGATAGCAGAAGAACGATGAGATATTTAAGTTCCTTAATCAAATTACTATAAAATTCAGGGTAACGCAAAATTAAGTTTCTTCATCAAATTGTCATAACCGTTCAGTGTAACGCAAAATCGACGGATTTAAAAACTTAAATATCTCCTAAACGGCTTAGGATAGAGACGAACTACAAAGAGCACTCTATTTTATCCGTTTAGCTCTACGTTTTGAGCATGTTTAGAGAATCATTCGATTATTAATAACTGAGGAAAATTAATAAAAAATAAAACCCTTGTCAATAAGAAGCAACTGAATCCACTCCTTAATTTGCATTGTTCTCTTTGATATGTAGCCAAATTTTCATTGAAATCGGAGACAAAAAAAATTTTTCTCAAAAAATTTGGAAGGCTATACCCTTTCCTTTTTTTTTGGGAAAATAAAAATTTTAAAAAATTTACGTATGTATAGAATGGAACGTTAGGATCTCAAAAAAATACTCTGTTCCCCTCTAACAAGACTAATTAAAAAGTTGGAGCTCATTTCTTAAAAAGTATCCAACATAGAGAGACGCAGACACCAGCAAGACATTTTAAATCGTTTACTGTAACGTAGTGTCAAATTTCATGAAGATCGAAGCAGAAATAACATTTTTCCATACTTACTCGGTTTCCGTTTCAAACTACTAAAAGTTGCAATTTCGTTGACAAAAAATTTGGTATCAGGATAGCAGAAGAACGATGAGATATTTAAGTTCCTTAATCAAATTACTATAAAATTCAGGGTAACGCAAAATTAAGTTTCTTCATCAAATTGTCATTACCATTCAGTGTAACGCAAAATCGACGGATTTAAAAACATAAATATCTCCTAAACGGCTTAGGATAGAGACGCACCAGTCGAAAACTCGAGGTCGAAAAAAATCATGATTCCTATACTTTCCTTATCTGTATACAGGTAGGAAAAAATAAAAACGCATTGACATATACATGTATTTTTATTAGATCTTGATGCAGCAAAAAATATTTTGTCAATAAGACAAAAATCAAGGTACATAAAAACAGTTAAATAACTTATAAAAGAACACTTTTAATTTGTTGAACTCTTAAACAATAATAGAAGCGTTTTTGTAGACAGAATAATTTTTAAAAGTAATCATATATAACGATACCTATTCCTGTTATTACCTATTTGAAAATATAGGTATTCATTTGATGTATATCCACAAATAATAAATGAAATCTTTTCTGGAGTAATATTATTCGATGTCTTTAAGATCATGACTAGTTGATTGTGCTTATTTATCTCTGAAATGGGTTTCTTTATATATGACTCTTAATTAAAAAATGTTCCTTTTCCAAAAATATTTGTTAGTGTCTCAATTTTACCCAAATTTCCAAATTTTTTATAAAAGCAAATTTTTCACCTGAACGAAGATTTTAATATGCAAATAAAACAGATTTTTTAGAGATACTAAATTTATTTGTAAAAGAAAATCCAAAAAAAGTTACTGGTCAACCAAATATTGGTATATTCCGCAACGCACTAAACTCATCATCCGGAAATTTGGGCAATCGAACGAAAATTAAAAAATATATCTCTATAAGTCTGAAATACACAGACACGATAAACACAATAATTATACTTTTTAATGTTTTATAATTAACGAAAAAACATTTTCCTAATGACGTACTGGTAATTAGAAAGCAAGTGAGAAAGTTTATGTACACAACCTACATGTTACATTCATCCTAAACATTAGTAATACATATTGCAGTTGGATTGGTTTCGATCACGAAAAACTTTTTCATTGCTAAAGTCAAATAATAATTTGACAGTTAAAGTCACAATTGACATATGACAGTTTAAGTGATTGTTAACAGTTTAAGGGTATGGTCCGATATTAGAGAGTTGAAGTGTTTCCAGTACGTTAACGTGAACGTTAACGCAGAAAAATAATGTTTACGTTGAAGTCCAAATATGAGTTTAAGCTGTTAAACGCATCGTGACATTTATGTGCCATGACAATTAATATAAGGATTTCTTCTTTCCCAAAATTAAAAAAAGGTTATTTTGTTTGCGTTACGTACATACGCCAGAGCCCATAAGCTTACGTAGACGTAAACGTGAAGGATATTTGAATATGCATGCGCAGATGTCAGTTTTCACGTACACGTTTACGTTCATAGCATTACCTCAACTCTCTATTAACCGCAAGTAACCAGGATTTTTTGACAGCGGTTCCTGAAAAAAATTAATTTCTTGGTTACATTTGTACCACGGTCGAGATTTACGTCACTTTTCTGACAGATTGACATTCGACTTAATAGTAACCGTAAAAATATAGCGGTTAGTGAAATGACATTTGAGTTATCATTTTCAGGAAAGCGCGTTCCTAATGACACCGGTTTTTCAGGAATGTTAAGCAGAACGGTTAGTTTTAACCGAGTAACCGATATTTCGGTTAATAACGGACCTTAAAACTTTAAGTGACATTTGACAGTTTACAGCGCCGACTTAGATTTTGCGATAGGCACCGTATACACACGGCTCCAGACAGAGATATATGAAACATGAATTTCTATACACACAGCATTTAACGTGTAAAAGTGATATTTGACAGTTGAAGTGATATTTGACTTTTAACAGTTACATTTAACAGTTAAAGTAATATTTGACAGTTAAAGTAACATTGGACAGTTAAAGTAACATTGGACAGTTAAAGTGACATTGGACAGTTAAAGTGACATTTTATATTTAGATAACTGCCATTTTCGATGTCGGAAATAATCTATGATGAATACAGTGACATTTAGATATAAACCGCCATATTGAATGTCAAAAGTAATGATAAATAGTGACCCACAAAAAACTTCCATTTAAGAATAATTATCCGTTCACAACAATCGATTGGTTTTTATACGGAAATAATCAATTTAACGCGTAATCGAAAATAATCGATTTTCTGAATAATCGATTATTTGAAAATAATTAAATAATGGAAAATAATCAATCTCTCGATTTAAAAAAATCGAGTAATCGAAAACAATCGATGAATCGAAAATAATTAATCGAACAGTGTGGATTAAGTAAAAATATTCGATTCATCGAAAGTAATCGATTAATCGAAAGTAATCGATTATTCGAAGGATCGATTGATTAAATAATCGAAAATAATCTAAATTATTCTAAAGTAATCGAAAATAATAGAAAATAATCGAAAATAATATTTTGATAATCGCCCATAATTGATTATTTGAAATAAATTGAATAATGGAAAACAATCGATTAAGCAAAAATAATCGATTGATCGAAAGTAATCGATTACTCGAAGAAACGATTAATTAATCGATTAATCGAAAATAATCCATTTTTCTGAATAATTAATTATCTGAATATAACTGAATGATGGAAAATAATCAATCTCACGATTAAACAAAAATAATCGAGTAATCGAAAAGAATCTATTAATCTAAAATAATTAATCGAACAGTATGGGTTAAGTAAAAATAACCGATTAATCGAAAGTGATCGATTATTCGAAGAATCGATTGATTAAATAATTGAAAATAATCTAAATTATTCTAAAGTAATCGAAAATAATATTTTGGTAATCGCTCATAATTGATTATTTAAAAACAATTGAATAATGGAAAACAATCTATTAAGCAAAAATAATCGATTGATCGAAAGTAATCGATTACTCGAAGAAACGATTAATTAAATGATCGAAATAATTGATTAATCGAAAATAATCGAACAATAAAAAATAATCGAAAATACTCGAAAACAATCTAAAATAATTGAAAATAATAAAAAATAATCGATTAATCTAAAATAATCCATTCACCAAAAAAAGTCGATTAATTGATTATTTATTTTGAAAATCGCCCATAATTGATTATTTGAAAATATCCGAATAATGGAAAATAATCGATCTCTCAATTAGAAAATAATCAATAGCGAAAATAATTGATTAATTGAAAACAATCTATTAAGCAAAAAATAATCGATTATTCGAAGAATCGATTTCGAAAATAATCTAAAATATTTGAAAATATTCGAAAATAATCGAACATAATCTTTTGATAATCACCCATAATTGATTATTTTAAAATAATTAAATACTGGAAAACAATCTATTAAGCAAAAATAATTGATTGATCAAAACTAATCGATTACTCGAAGAAACGATTAATTAAATAATCGAAAATAATCTTAATTATTTTACAGTAATAGAAAATAATAGAAAATAATCGAAAATATTATTTTGATAATCGCCCATAAGTGATTATTTGAAAATAGTTGAATATAAAACAATTTATTAAGCAAAAATAATAGATTGATCGAAAGTAATCGATTACTCTAAGAAACGATTAATTAAATAATCGAAAAAATCTAAAATAATCGAAAATAGTCAAAAATAATCGATTCATCTTAAATAATTATAAGGCGATCGTTTGATTACGTTTGATTAATAATCGATGATCTGATTGTTCGGAAATAATCATTTTATTGATTAATCGGAAATAATCGATTTTCTACTATTTGAAAACAACTGATTAATGGAAAATAATTCAATCTCTCGATTAATCGATAACAATAGAAAAAGCGAAAATAATAGAAAGTAATTGAATAATAGTCGATTCTTTAAAATTAATCGATTAATTTAAAATAATCGATTATTTAAAATTAATCGATTAATTTAAATAATCGATTACTTATTTTGATAAC